CGTTATGAGTTGATTAATGTAATACGAGTATGATTACTTTTAATTACTATTTAGAGAATCCTAAAATATCAGTTAGAGAATTGTAAATATTATTCAGAAATTACGATATCTAAGACCAATAAAAAAATTAAATACACTAACCAACGGCAGAAGTAAGTCTAGTTGTACTAGTCGGCTCACCATTATCGTCAGCAAATGTCAAATCATCACCACTTGTTTCTGCAGCATTTACTTCAAGATCCTCGTTTCCATGCAATTCCGTCGTATCCACGGAAGAAAAATTACGTCGACTTTGCCGAAATATATTATGTTGTGGTGCTGGTGAACTAGGTGGCTAAAATACATTTTGCTAAACAAACATCTTGAATTAAAAATGCACAAAACACCTGTTGAAGAGGGAACAAAACTTAATGAAAAAGGACGACAGGATTTGTAGCGATTCAAAAAGTCTAACTTTAGAATCACTTAGTTGAGCGTCGAATAAGGGACAAAGTTTTGTTCTCGTCATAAAATCTGTGGAACTTTAGCTATGATTTAGCTATGATACTCGAATATAGCAAAATTCAAACAAGCTGCTTGCAAAGCGTTGAAACCACATTCACAAAAGCTAAAAGCTACATTATGTTTTATAAGTAATGAAATAAGTCTCACCTGCTCGCCTATCATTGTTGCAATGAAGGAACTTGCAAGCTCAACATTACTCACTGCCGGCGGAGTTTCAGCATTCGCTAAACGATGGTCTAGTTCTTGCTGATGATCATCCTGACTAAGCAAACTAGCCTGAAACATTTTGTAAAATAAAATATATGACTGTAGTGCATCGATCAAATACAACTCAAATTCTACTGCTGCCTTTTTTTCATTAAGCATACCGATTGTTGAGATATAAAGGGCGAATCCATCGTTTTGAAATCTTGTCCCAAATCGACCTAAAATAAGAAACAGTTCTATGGAAGTACAAAAATATATTCCGCCACCATACTTCATGAAATTTTTTCGTTTTTAAGAAAAACTTTAAAAGAGTTCATAACAATCCACTTGAACTAGGCAAACAGTGGAGCAATGCTATATCAGATCCTCTCTCCTTCGCTTTTTTCTCTTTTGTTCATCATCAAAATTTCATGTACAAGAAATGGGTACTTCTTCTTTGATGTATGGATGATGTCTTCGCAAACCAGCCAACATTTCACTTGCACGTCCACCATTTTGATGGGCACCCAATAAACTTGAGCAAACAAGATTATCTGATCGCGTCGTTGTTTGCAACGGAGAAAGCAGACCAGCCGGACCGGAGCTAAAACTGAAATGAGTCCTTAAATCATGCACCTAAGGAATTGAATTTAAGCAATGGCTTTATATCGCCAATCTGAGAATGGACATTAATGAGCAGAATAAATGTAAACTCCGATGTAAACAGTGTTACATTGTATTCGTTTAAATATCAACATATCAACTTGACATATCCATATATAACTGCATATCGGAAGTATATGTCTTGATATGGAAAAAAAGCTTTTTCTCTGAAGCAGTGCCTTAACTTACAACTATGACGGTTTCCAGTGTTTTCATAAAAGTTGAAAATACCTCAGTTTATCTAAACCAGAGGAATGACTGCTGTGCTGCATAGACGTGCTATGAAGCTGATCTTGCAATGGTTCAATTTTCATTGTACCCACATACGACGGTGTTGCTGACATGGGTGCCAGGGTTGCATAAGCATTGAAATCAGATGATTTCCCAAAACTGCAATGCACCGCTTTAACTTTCTGCCAGCATTAGAAAGTAACAATCAACATCATAAATTTATCTTCCGCGATTTTTGTCTACTAACGTGTGCTGGATGTCCAGTAGAAAACTTTAATTATTAAGCAACGAAACTGAAGTAGCAATTAACTTAACTAAAAAACAAATATATAATTCCACTTTGGCTGAAAATTGGAAAAATTCAGAAGCGAAAATCCAAACTAAAAATGAGTTTGGTGCAAATTGAGAAAACCGAAATTTAAAGTGATTTCCCAAAATAAAATCTCAATACTTACTTATCACTCGAACCAAGACTCATAGGTGCCAATGGTGCAAGCTGTGGACTTTCCTGAGGCGCAGAACCTTGGTTTTGCTGTGGACTTATACTTTCCAAGAAATTTTCTGGCAATTCTTCAAATGGGCGGTTAACTGAATTAAATGTAATATTGGGATCGATCTGAAGTTGGTAGGTAGTTGGTGGAGCTGTTGATGCACCTCGTTCCATCGTATGCCTTACTTTCTCATCCAAACTGAAAATCTTATGAAAACCATGACTTTTACTCTAATAACTCAAAGCTGCTTTCAATCTGAAATCAATAATCGTCTCTCCATAACCTTAAAATCAGTCCAGAAGAAATAAAGGGTTATGAAACTAATAATCTTGATGTCTAATTTTAATTTTACAACAGTGTACAACATGATTTTCTCCTATGTATAAACTCTGAAACAAGCTCTCATGACATTATATACTCCCGAAAAGTTTCCACAAACTCCAAACCATTGCATCTGACATGAAGCAGCAGTGCCAAGTGCATCCTGATAGAAATTACTTAAAACTACACACCTGTTAGCATTGCTATTACTATTAATTGATGAAAGCTGTTGAGAACAAGAAGTTTCCGCAGGTGGTTCCATACACACATGCGCTTACTGTAAATGTATCAAAAACCAAATGACAAGCGTAGTATTTTGCTGTCACCTCTACTATATCGATGTTGTGCTGTTTCCAGTTGCATTCAAAAATCTGCAAACGATAATACTCAATCTTCGCAAATAATACATCACTGAATCATCGTCAAATTCCGTAAGATTAACTAGCTAAGTAGTCAAAATTTTTTGATTTCAAAACCTATGCAAAAGAGCTATTTGTAAGAATATCTTAACACTAGTGATGCAACAAACTATCTCACCGCAATCAGTAGGCAAACTACCTTTTCAATTTTATTCAATTCCCTAAACGTGAGATAACTGCTATTTATCTGTCATGAAGGAAAATAAGCAACTAGAAATGTACCATTAGAAATGGAATAATGCTGCTATGTGCACTGAGTGAAAAATTAACGTCTCTTATTGAACTGACTAAAATCTACCCTTAAATACAACATTTTATCACTAAATGGACATAGTAACAGTAGGGATAACAGAACTTTATCACCATTATATTATGATGACAACGGTAAAGGTCGTCGAACCTTATCAGAGATGATAACGATTTATCATTACACTAGAGTAATAACAGGTTATCACCGTACTAGAGTGATAAAAGTTGAATGAATTGATAAGTCACTACTAAAAGCAAACGGATAAATCTAAACAGAGCTCATAGCTTACCGGGTATCATTTACCGGTAAATTACATGCCGCTTATCCATGTGAAATATGAACATCACATAAACATTCTCAGCAGGACTACTTTAATATAACATTAACAAAACCAAACTCAAATTAAGCAACCATGCACAGTACTCCACATGAATATCGCTCTCCTGCGCACATTTCATACAGTCCTACTATTTTGTCACATTTTTTTCACGTGTATGAAGAAATAGATTTCAGATATTAACACGTCTGTAAGATCGACATTCCTAGTCACTCATCTCTCTAGCAACAACCCATCAAAATAACCTATGAAAATGCCTACAAACTGCACTGAATGCACTCTGACCCCACTTCGACGACGTCACGCAGTGCAGATGCTTGCAACTGCACTTAGTGCACTCTAACGACCTAGCGCTCTCCCCTATTGCAACCACTCTCAGCTGTTGCAAACTCTGAAGAGTCTTTTCGCAAAGGAAGACACACACAGAAGGGTGCTGAATGTTTGCCAGGGCACTTAAGCAATCGCTCGAAAGATGAAATCGCTATAAGCATCAAATGGGCACTACGGTAGCGTGACTTGTTTAAGCGTGGAAATAGACGTGTATGTGATTTGAGATATTTATCCGAGTGCATGCAGAGGTCTAGTCGGACAGGAGACAGGTATTCGTTCAGTTCAATGCTGAAATAATTATCTGAAAATACATGCTCTATCCTACTTCACCTACCTTTTAGAAAATATGCGACATCGCAAAATATCGATTCTCTTCACTGACAGCCCAAGTTGCGACTGGTACTTTTTGAGAGAAAGTTCACAGCATAAAAGCTAATGAATTAACTTTCTCTAAGTTCTTAAGGATTCCTAGCAAAACTTACTCGAACTCACATAACATCGCATTGTTACCACGAACGTACCCTCCGAAGATCTATAACTGATGTCTAAGACAAAGGTTTTCACTTCGCAGCAGCCAGATGGGTAAGTCAAAGTGACCGCACAGGTTTCAATATGCAACTTCTCGTCCTTATCCTTATATTCGATTATGCAGTTGTACTGTACTTCCTCTAAATTAAGGTGGTTCTTGTATTTGTTTTCATTTATTTATACAAAAAATGTCAGCGATATTATTTATTTATGCTGAATGAGATTAATGTTAATTAAATATCAACGTCAGTACATTCATATTAAATTACTAAGTCTGTTTACCTGTCGAATTTATTCTTTTAATTATGTTGTATAAAGCTAGGTATCTGCTGCTATTACTTTTGTTAAATTCCCGAAAGGTTTTTAAAAATTTGTCTCTTGACTTCATAATCTTCAACATCTTGTAGGATAAAGCCTATGCTCTTTTCTATATTTCAGTGAAATTGCTCAGGAATGTGAGATGTGGAACCAAGATTAGAGAAATAATAAGCCAGGTTAGTGGAGTGATTTAAATATGGATAGACCGAATCAACTGTGTAAAAGCAGTTTTGAAAACTCTTAGACATCCTGATTAAATGAAATGAAAGCCACTTTGTACAAAGTGTCTTGTTGCTATTATAAGATTTAAACTTTGATGTTATTTCTATTAAAATTGCCATTTGGTGACATTAGTATTTTAGCTCCTTACGATTTATTGATATGTGGTTTATAATCAGCAGATTAAAATTTTTAATGAACCGATGACACTAGCAATATCTGAACGCAGTTTCCAAGCGATAGGATATGAATTATCAACAAATCTAGCTGAATTACCAATCGATTTACATTGTCGTCTTGCCAGCGCTTTAAATTTTCAAACTGTATGGATGAAAATAATTGGCGACTCGACAAGCAGTCCATTCAGTTTAGAGTAAATTTTTAATTTAATTTATGTCTTAAGGCTCCTTATCACTTCTTTCCCAATATATATGACAAGCTGTTTTCAAATCCATTTAATAAATTCATTGCTTAACCTCCATAAAATGTACCTCATATGTCTAGTGTCGTTTGGCTGATCATTAGCAACGCAGTTTTATTCTCGAACTTATTGACTCGCTAACCTAATTAGCCACTATTAATATCTACTTTTTGCATTCCGTTAGAAAGTTGTTTGTTCACTTTGCTCAAAAAAATAAAAACAAGGTGAACTAATAATTTTACTTAGACCAGCAAATAAGTGGAAAATGACGGGAAACGAACGCCTCCAGGGATTAGCATTCATCTCCTCTTTCTCTGGTTTGTCACGCCGTAAAGTTTAAACCGGGGCTGTGTTTATATTGCGATTGCCTGATCAGAATAAACCTGAGTAGTGCGACATTCCCTCGATGAAGTCATGAATCTCATATGAACATGGATGAACAAACTTCATAAAGGATTTAAGAGTTTTCTCGATATACCAGAAATAAAAACGCATTCTGTGTGCTCTTTTATTTGCTTATGATGCTGTTACTATTGAACAACTCATATTTGAGATTATCACATTTCATTACAAAAAATGTTTTCTCAGGATTTTTAAAATATTATATCACTGAAAGAGAGTCCATCACGTCAAACAATCGCTGTAATTATCATATTTTGAATTCTCTTGAAAAGGTTAAAGGAGGAAAAAATGAGACAGGTCGAGATCACCATTGGAAAAAAGAGATGATTTATGAGAGCGAAACCTATACACGGATGAATATAGGGTAAATGCAAATCAAAGTATGGAGAGGAGGAAGAAATGGAGCAGGTCAAGACCATCATTTAGGAAGCGAAATCTTTAGGTGTCATTTGCAGATATCGAGCTGGGAAAAAAGGTCAAATGATAGTAGGGAGGATACGCAGCGCGTTTCGTCCAAAAGTAAAGAAAAAGGGGTAGGGGTGCGTCAATCATCGCTGAGCGATATTTGAAGAAAGCGACTGCTTTGTTTCTTTTTTTCGGAGGAATGCTCGTTTCTGATGAGAATGGAAAGTTAAAATGGAAGTATCCTAAAAAATATGTGGTCAACGGGAGTAATCTCAGACATATGGTTTTCTGAGCTATATCAGTTTCATCGTGCTGGAAATGTTTGGTTTTCATAATAGCTTGGATAACAGTGTATTTCTGAAAAACGGAAAGCTCTTACACCAAGTCGAATTCATCACTTATTTTTTTCTATAAGAAAATGAAATAATTAACTACATCATTGTTGATAGTACAGTAAAGTGAATGCTCAGTAATCTCTAACATATTCAGTCAGTCCGAAATGAATAATCTAATTTGACACTTTTTAGTGTTTCGGAATATGATCGTATTTTACGAACCAAGAATCAAGGATCGTCACTTTTATACTTATGGGGCAATCGTGGACAGACTATAAAACTCTTGCTGCGAAGGCTTCAATCATTTTCTAAAATGCATGGGACATGTATGGATGGACCTCAATTGGCATTAAGACGCAAATTCGGTAAATATTTTTAAATTGAAGTAGCAATAAGAAGATGGCATGGTTTTGTTAATATATCAAAAGATCATGAAACCTTTTTCACTCCCCTATCGCAATGTAATAAATACATTGGAAAGAAAAAGTTCCAAATATTTGAAATTTTACTGAAACTTCCAAAGTTGTCTGATTCTGAATTAGTAGTAGACAAAATTAAAATTCCAATTTGTTTTTAGTGCCGGTAACGTGGTCGGCTAAAGAACAGGTCACGATTAGAGTGATGGGTACTGATAACTGCATGCTGCAGCTTTTTTGCCATGCTCGTGGTTTTCCTTGGCCTCATTTCCAGTGGATGGAAAATGATGAGGATATAGACGGTTCGAACGGAAAAGCACTTGTTATTTCCAAGTTTCTTATCACTTTATACGTCGCCAAGATATTGCAGGAATCTTCAGCATAAAAATTTGATAGCTTTTTTAATAAGGAAACGTTCAGAAATAAAAAGAGGGATAATAGTGGCTTTGAAGCAAATACATTTATCAAATGTGGAGAAAAAATGAGAGAAAATAAAAATTATTCCTAATTATGGGTTGACAAAATTCAGATGCAGATGTCGAAGAGGATTGATGTACAGATGTAGAATATGGAATGAAATTGAAGACGGCTTCGAATATTCGACATTTTACCGGAAACCAGGCAAATCATTTCACTCAAAATTAACGACGGATCCAGTGGACTTGTCATTATTCATAAGTGCCGATGTGAAAGGTTTAGTTCAAGTATAATTACTGTAAAATATTTTAAAACAAATTGTACGCTACACATTTGAATTTGTTTTACTCTCCTAGCAGTAGTTTTTATAGCTCAAAATTTAAAATGGGCATTGTCTTCATGCGTGAATGATTTTGCATGGTTTTGTGTTGCAGCAGACTCCTGCGAGCGATGTGCCAAATATAACGATTTGACTTTATCAACTGATTTCTGCAGAACTAAGCAAAACGAAGGCGATATAGGTTTTTTTAATCTAGCTTTTTTTTAATTGGTAAAATTTACAATTTGTTTGCCGAACAAATTTTATTAAACTTTAATCACATGAAGGATTCTTTATTCATCAGTTACTATTTTCAGGCGGTTGGAACGCAGAACTAATCGCTACAGATAAAGTTGCATTAATTATAAGCAACTGTAACTACACCAATTTACCGAGCTTGGTCACACCTCACTGTGATGCCGAAATGTTTGCAGAGTCCTTGCAAAATCTTGGGTAGGTACATCAACAGTTGTCCTTATTATTGATTCGAAAATTTTAGTCGATTAGAAATTGGTGTTGGAAATTCAAGTCTAATTTTTAAACAAAAAGGGTAGTAATTTATAGATTAAAAAAAACCAAATTGTATGTTAAATGTTTCTTTCTGGAGTTTAAGTTGTTCCACGGGCATACAATTAACGTTTACAGTTTCAAAACTGTTGCTCTTGGAGATTTAAATCTTGCTGAAATGCACTTCTTTATCACAGAATATCGCAAACTTCTTGGTGATGGAGTATATGGTGAGATTTCTTTTGTTTTCCTTTACTTCTACAGATTCTTTCTGTACATAATTGTGATATGTAATTTCTTTAGCTGTGTTTTACTTTGTTGGTCATGGTTTTGAAAGAAATGGAAAAAATTATCTACTGGCGGTAGATGCACCAGCTGTTGACTGCAGAATGGCTGATTGTGTTTCTGTTGAATGGATTCTCTCAGTTTTCGAAGATTCACATCCAGCTTTAAATCTAATACTTCTCGATGTTTGTCGAAAAAATGTGAAGTATGGTTACGTTGTTTATTTTTGGATTTCCAAAATTGGCATGGCGGAGAGAAACAAAAGAATTAGATTTATTTATGGGAAAAAATTTTTAGCTAAGTAAATTTTAGAGCTATATAAACATGGATTGAAGGAGAAGAAAAAATTTTCCAGTTCTTTAGATGCACTGACACTTTGGGATGTTTCGATGAAGCAGATACCAAGGAAATACCAAAGATAGCGCGCAATATTGTTTGTGGATATGCAACGTAATTTTTGCGCTTAAAAATAAAAACGACAAACTTCTGAAAAAGTTTGAGAAATTATTCTTACTTCTGCAGCAAATTTAATACATTGATTTTCAGTAGCAGTGGGGTTAGTGCTTTTGAAGTTCGTGGAGAAAAGAATGGTATCTTCATGAAGCATTTGTTGCAGCATATAGCTGATGAAACAACAGTTCTTGAAATGTTAACAAAGACATTCCAGGGTAATTTTCACTAAATAGAAAGCAATACATATACTGTAGTATCAAGTCTATCCGTTTTTTTTTTATTTTTTGTTTTTATAAAGCTCTTTCGTTCTTTTCGCATCGTCAGTCTGATGAGAAACCAGCTGTTATGTCTGTATCAGCAACACGGCAGATAAAATATGTCATGAACTTTTTATTGTTATTATAATTTTTGAATGATAGTTTGAAGTAATTTGTGTCAGTAATTTAAGAAATATGCTACTGATGAAAACAAAAATTTAGCATACAGATTTAATATCACTCTTCACTCTTTATTGTCATAATTCTATGATTCTCTGCGCCATTTTATTACCAATTTTATCATTAGCTTTTTCCAATAATCATTCAATTTTATTTTTTTCTTCCAGAAGTCTCAAATGATACTAGGATTTGTGATGTGCAGATTCCGGAACTAAAGTCAAATTTGATCTTACCTCGTGGATTACGAGATCCACTTGTTTGCCATGGTCATACGACATCTTTCAATTGTCATACTTTCTACTGGCGTTATATGCATGGTATAACTTCATTTTTTTATTTATGCTATAGTGCTGTTGCATCGTTCACAATCTCCTATATTGAATTTCCTTCACTTTCTGAAGGGAAATAAAGTGGAATTAAAAGATAAAAGAGCCGTTATTGCTTCCATTGTTTATTAATAAATGCTTGTTTGCAGTTTGCTGTGTGCAAAACCTTTCTTCTAAACAGCCGCGAAATTTGAAAGGTCACTTAGTTACTTGGTTACGAAACAGCTTCTAGAAAAAAAAATACAAATCATTAAACCAGTTATTTATTACAGAGTTGCCGAATCCGATAAATGTACGATTTATGGATCAAAATATGCTTGTTATGATTTGGTACGACTACGTTGGACATTTCACAAACAAAGTGTACATATTTAGTAGTGTTAGTGATCTATCTGCTGAAAACAATACGGAAAGTTTGAAACCATTGCCTACCAAATTTTCATATATTGCACATTTACGTTTTTCCAAGGTTTGTTATTAACTGGTTTTCCAAACATGAAGGTTTTAACGAGATTAAAAGGCTTAATGATTTTAAAGCCTTTTTCTGTTTTATTTTTTTTAAGAGTAGGTGCAGAAGCCTGGGAATGACTGGACTTTTTTAGGATCCAGATTTGAGAGAAGTGTAATTAAGTTTATGTATCATTTTTACTTTTCGTTTTGCTTTCCTGTTTTTATCTTATCTCTTTATATATCCCCGTTATATTATTTTTTTATATCGTGTCTTTGTTTATATTATCTCTTTTGTCTCTTTTGTCTTCCACATAATCCTGCTGGCGTAGAGAATTTCAGCATGTCGATGTATCGACAGAAAGAATAATAGAAGATGATGACGATGGTATTTCAGTATGTGTAATGCTATCAAATTTGCAGCGCTTTAAAGTAAGTATTATTGCATATGCTATTATCTCCTTAGATTATAAAAATTATTTCCATTCTTCAAATATGATATTAAAAATCTAGGTGATTAACAGTTTAGTGGAAATAGATTTTAATGTTTATGAGGGTGAATGCTGTTGGAATAACGTGTCGTAATAAATTAAATAAAGGAAATAATGAAAAGATGGAATGTAATGTTCAGAATACTTCTGATACCTAACGGGTTAGTTCATGTTGTTTGGAAGTGTTATGTTTCCAGTTTTAGTACTGTACTTTAGAAAATCGTCAAATGATATGGTAATACTCTGCTAGTAAATTATCAAAAAGATTTACATTGTCAAAATATTTAGTACATTGAGGAATTGCATTTTGAAGTTATAAAGTCTTTTTTTTCGTGGATTTTATTCCAAAATATTTGCAGGGAACTATATCGTGCTCGATAGATCTTGCAACTCGCAAAGATAATGTAGTGATAGCGTCGAAAAATAATTTGTCACTAGGTGATATATTGGTTACAAGGATTTATAGGGTTGAGTGAAAAAAATCTAGCTTTTATTAGAAGAATATCAAAATATGTGTTATGAAAAATGATTGGGGAGTTTCAGTGTGGTAGTGCAGGATAGCTATCATTTGTTCATAGAAGTTCTTCATGCAATTAAAACACTTCAAGATTTGTAGAAGCTCGTGAGACTAAGGATGCCGAGATGCTGGTTTTATTTTTTTTAGTCCATTTTTTATCACTTTACTTTGTTCACCTCATTTATGATTTGATGTTGTTGTTGAATAACATCGTGAAAAACAATAAATCTCTTAATCCGTAATCAACAAAAGATTCTTGCTTCTCTTCTGCTTTCCTGGACTAGATGGTCAATATGTCCAAGCAAATGTAAAAAAAGTCCGCAGCAAAATCTTATTAAATTATTAAATCTCGAATGCTGTCCACCAAGTTTGTTCTAGAAACGTGAAGTCTGTAAAATTTCTTTTTCATTCAAATATACTTTACTGATTGCAAAGAATTTTTGCTTAAAAAACATCTTAAAATTTATTTCAAATATATTAAATCACAAAAAAAATTCATTATAGGCTTTGCAAAACACCTATTAATTCCAAGAGGAAATGGAAAAGACAATTTACAAGCTCATTTTCTTATTGACACAAAATTTTGGAATTGAACACATTATTCACCCATGAATAGAACTACTGAAGTAGGACTCTTTCTGTTGTTTTTTCCATTCTACTGTTCCTTGCCCTTGTGAAGTATGATGAAATAAGTGACTAATGCAAAACTGCCGTCATTGAGATATTAGAAATGGCAAGAAAGGAAGTGTAAAATTAAAGGGTGGACTTTTATCAAAATTAAAATTAGAAGAAAAACGGTTAAATAGGTGATAAAAGAATGTATAAAGTCAGATACACTTTAGGGAGTCTCAATTTAGAAGTAATTAAAATATCATATGGAATGTCACGCAAATATGAAAAAAGTTGCAAAACAATTCTTTATGCAAATAGAGTAGTAGTAATAAATGAAAGAGAGCAAGGAGGAACAGTTTGAGTATTTTCAAAATTTAATTAAGTTCTCAAATATGGGAAGTGATCGATTCATATAAAAAGAATAATTCAAATTTAGTTGTCATTTGTATCATTTAGAAGACCCATCGGTCGATTGCTTCTGGTGATTGCACTTTCACATATCTCGAAGCAAATGTCTTCCCAGCGGGACTCATCGAATTATTTTAAAGGCTCTAGCCGATTTTCAGTAAGCAGTTACTATCTTCTCATTTAATAGTTTGTTTTAAAAAATAATGAAATCGGATTTTATAACGTTATGTTAAAAAAGTCATTGTAATTACTATTTTTTAGACAATCGTTATAAAGGAAAATACGATTACGACAATAGGAATATCAAAATTCTAAATCAAAACATTTTCATATTCTCTAATTAAAATATATTCAATATATTCTAAAATAAATAACAAAAATCAGAGTGATGGCGGTTCTCAAGCTAAGTTACCGGATGATCTGGAAACAGCACGAGCGATCATCGAAAGCTTAACACGACAGTTAAAGGTGGTGATAAGAAGTTTTCTGTATGCATACATTTGTAACGTTATTCAAATGTGATCTTCTGTTAAGATCAACTGAGATTTCCAAAGATTTTCAAAATCCTCATCATTTCTTTTTTATCAACACTTTTTCTAAACTGTAAAACAATAGATTGTAGATTCATGACGATGTAACATCGAATTTGCTGCTTCTCCAGAAACGAATCCAACACACTCATCAGAGGACACAAGATGCCATGCGCATGGTCTAATTCAAATTAGATTCTCTACTTTCGAAATGGATTAAGAAATTAGTTAAATGACAGAGCCTCAGTTACGAGAGTTATTCGTTGTAATCTTTGTAACACATAATATATATCAATATCATATTCTGGCATGTTTTTTTTTTTTGATCGTTGTACAATTTTACATTGGTAAGACAAAATTATGCAATATGAGCTGATACAATCACGATCTGATAGTCATATAGGATGATATAACGATATGATACAGATTATTCAATTAAATCTATACTAAGAAAACATATTTTTCATTATTGGATGCATTATTCAGTATTTTTAAAGCTTGAAGATCGACTGGACAATATTGAAGCAACCTGGACCAAGGAATTAGAGGACCAGCACAAACGCTGGCTCGATAAATATAATCGATTAGTGAGAGAGGCGGAAAATACTTGTCCGTTGTGCGTCTTGTTGATTTAACTATAAAATGTATTACTTTACGCATAACATAACAAACTACAGAAAAGTGGAAGATGGAAAAATATTCAAGTTAAAGCAATAAAAATGAAGAAAGTTAATGTACTTATCGTTTATAAAAGTGATGATTTAAAAAACTTTAAGAATTAAAGAAAATTTAAAAATTTCATGAAGGCATAACTTTTTTCATTCACTTTATTAATAGAGTTGAGACTAAAATTTTTTCTTAAATTATCGAGAAAGACAATGATGTTTGTAAATAATTAATGAATTATTATATCAGAATTATATTAGTGTAAAAATAAATATGTGTAAGAAACAATACGGAATGATTTATATTAGCGAACTATAGCTTATGATTAATTCAAATGAAGAGTGATGACCGAACGATTTAATTATATTTGTTAAATCAAAATTTCGTATGGAAAGGATGTAATGAAAAAACAAAAGTTTTCTTGCTAGCTGATAAGTTTATATTTGAAAATTTTCAGAAAGAAAGTATCATCCAAAGCTTCAGTAAAACATAGTATTGAGAATGTAAAAATTTCAAAGCAACAACTTGAAAGTCTTAATCGTCGTGTTAAGAAGGTCAATGAAGGAATCGGTGAATTGGAAAAAGTCGTAGATTGCACAAAAAACTTTGATGAGAAGCTGCGTCTCGACAAACAGAAGATCAGGGATATTGATGCTCGAGTAATGATTGAACTCTTTATTGAAGGAAAAAAACCACCGAAATATCTGGTACTTCAAAGGGAACTCTTTTTAAATTCACCTGTATGTATGCTGGACTTGTTCAATGACTTATCCACTGATCAACTTTTTTTCTAGCAAAATTTACTAGTTTTGTGTTTAATTTTATTTATTATAATAGTTGAATGCGTTAACAAAGAAAGAGCAGAAGTTAAATATTGAACTCACCAAACAAATGAATATTCATTTTCGCAAACCTTTCCTTCAAATGACAGATGAACGATCCGAGAAAAGTCTTTATGGTGTTTGTGAAGTAATCGATGGCTACAAAAAAGTATCCATTCAAGTTTTAATTTTTAAATGAAAATCAACTGATGACTCAAATTGAGTTGATCATATCCATGCATTTTGTTCATTTTTTATTTTATTTCACACAGAAATATTCTATTTCAATTCGTCTCAATAAACTACAGACGATTGAAAATTTGGATGAAGCACTGCGAACACTGGAACAAATTAAGAGTGCACCAGCAATGAAAAGTATTAAAAGTCCAATTCAAAGTACACCATCGGTGGATGAAATTGATGAAATTACCATTCTTATGAAACGTTTCCTCGCTAAACTTCATGTTCAGGTTTGACTTATATTTTTGAGGTATTTTGAGATAGTTTACATGAAATTCAAGCATGGAATCGGTCCTAAATTAGATGCCACATAAACTTGTGCAGAATTTGAAAATAATTATTTCAGCTGGAATCAGTTCATTTACATGGCAACCAAAAATCAAGCACTCAGGTAGGTATTGATAAGGTCTGTCCACTTTCAACCTCATAAATTTAATAGGTAGAATTGTCCAAAAATGTGCTAATATATTTACATAGCAATGCAATCCTTTACGATTCAAAGTTTATGTCATACCTTTTGCTTTTTGCTCAGCTTATCCGCTAACTACGACAGTGGATCTCATAAGAAAGAATATACCTGATAACCCTTGTTAAAATCTGCTTGAAATGAAACAGAAGCCATTTGTGAAGGGGCTTTTTAAACGTGCCTTCTTCACTTTCCGTAAGATCTTTATCAACAGCAAGGATGAGGCAGATCATTTTACCGATATTGTATCATATTTCATTCCGTGAAAATTTAGAATGCATTGTTGATGAGCAATAACAGTGATTTTAAATCAGGAAAGTCGAAGGAGATAACGACTAGCACGTCACCAAATCGTGGTACCACTTCTGGTTTTGACCCAACTCCACTCAATACTTCACAATCCGTACCGACTGGTTAGTCTCTTAAGTGATTTTTATGGCTCAAATAGCGAAACTGAAGTGAACCTATGAAAGCATTGCTGAAACGCCTTTTAAAATTGTAATTGATTATGTAATTTGCATTCATTGCGCACACTAATAGGATCGCCAACTTCGTCCGCACATTCGCAGTTTATGGTTTTGAAATCGGAAGTTGGAAGGGAAGGAATGATTACAGCTAAAGAAAAGTCAGAACAAATCCTAAGCGACAAAAAGAAATAGAAAGTCATGCAATCTTCCACTTTTCTTAACTTTAATTCTCACACTGATAAAGTCATTGTATTTCTTTTTGCTGCAACATGAATTTTTATTTTCATTTCATTGATTACTAATTTATTCTTGACGAACACTATCCCAAAACCTGTTACTCTTGCTTGGCTGAAGAAGGCATGGCTATATGGTGCTTCTTTTTAGCAAGATATTGGCCCATTCTCTTCTACCCTATCCTATCAAAGTTTTAAAACTGAGCAATAATTTGTATTGAACATATCATAGCGTCAATATAATTAACAATGATAATATGTGAAAATGGAAATAAAAAAAAATGGAAATAATGACATGGGAACATTCGATTACTTATTATTACATGATAAAACGGAAAGCGCAAATATTTAACACTGTTTCATGTGCTCAATGGAAAAGAATTAAAAACCATTAAATCAATATTACTGTTTTACTATTTCCACTTAATATCAGATTTGATTATTCAGTATCAGATATATTCTAAATCTGAAAGGATTGAGAGTCACAGATGACTATTGTAATTTTCGAATGGAATAAAAAGTGGCCATCATCCTTCTCCCCCGCACACCCGTGGTGAGAATATAGGATATTTTGAAAAATGCTTGGACATAAAGATGAATGGAATGGGGAACAGTCAGATGAAAACAATAAAATTTGAGCTTTGTTGTGAATGTATAGACATAGAGATAGCAAAAATTTGCGTTGTATGGTGCAATTATGAATAAGGGAATAAATCTTTTCCGCCGGAATGCTTTTTAGTTTTTTTTCTATAAGACAGTCACGTATGACCTTTCACTTTATTGTTAAAGACCAGTTTTAATAGGAGTTAATTTTTTTGTGAAACAAATTGAATATGATAGATGGAAGACAGGAACATTGATGAAAATATTAAAAGTTTACTATGCATCAAATACACAGTAATTTATAATTTTTATAGGCTATGCGAAACACCGAACACACTCTAGCAATACCGGTTCATCACCGTTTACTACTATTGGCGTCTCGTGAGGACAATCTTTTTGACCTTTCACTGATGTCAATGAACACTGAAAATCTTATTAATTTTAATTAGAATTGTTATATAATCCTTTAAAATGTTGCAAGATTTTTTAATGCACAAAATATTATAAATATTAGAAACTGCAAAAATTTTAATTGAGCTATTAAGATCCTTATGAGTCGAATTCATGTGTCTTTATTTAAAAATAGTTTTAAATTTAAAAAGTAAGTTGTTAATAAAAAAATATTACAAAAAAATAAGCTTACGAGATTGGATCTATGGTCGTACTGAGCAACAGTACAGTTATGTTTCCAACATATCTCACCGCACTGTCCAATGGAAAGTGCTGGCTCAACTATTTCGGCCTGATTTATCCTCGTTAGCTCCGTCACTGTGCCAATGGTATAATTGCATTCTAAAAGAATTAACAATGAATTTCAAAATTTCATTAATCGATATATGTGTTGCAAAAAAAATCAATTAAAACCTAAAATCGTCATAACTATCGTAGTAGAAGTTTAAAATTTATTTTAAAACATTATAAGCAATAAAGAAGAATAATGCATACTGGTGCATTTCAAGCAACTGATAATAAATGGTGACAGATCGGCTTTGTGTTGCGGTATGGATTTCTCCTGTGTTGTGCAAACAGCAGGATTACTTGTTAGCATGCATACTGCATTTGCTGATTCATCATTCTGGCTTGGTTTATATACTGCCAGAACACAGTTTGCCTTAAAATAATTTAAAGGAATTAAATTGCAGCAAAAAAAATTTGCTAACAAATAAGACAGCAACGACAGATAACACCGACTTCTATCGAGCAAATGATTCAAATTTTTTCGAGAAATAAAATGATAATCATTTATCCAACAAATAAATATTAATGGGCAAAATTTTACCGTGTTGTAGCATTTTGTCGCGCATGCAGCTGGTGATTCGATGATAATTTCACTGGTGACATTTAGCTGTGAAAGATCTTCCACTTCCAATATTTCGAATTCAATTCGGCCGAGGCATTCATTAATTGCTCCTGCAATAATTAATTAAAGCCTTTAATTTTCCCGATGAATTTTAAATTCTATCAAATATGCCTTAACTCACTAAACAATTAAATATTTTTATTTCTTACAGTTAAACTCAAAAAGATTAATAATTTCTTACAGTTAAAACTCAAAAAGATTAATAATATTGTTGACGAATATATTCAATTTTCCTTCAGCATGCATGTAGCATTTGCGAGAAATATAAATCAAATACGAAATACTTCTGATTATTTCTTAAACCATTTTTTTCCTAAACATTTTTCTTAAAAAACGAAATTTCCAAGAAAACTTATCAGTTTTTGGATTTTGATTAAATTGAAAGTGAAAAGATGGACAAAGAGTATGTTGCAATTTTTTTATAAGAACATTCTTAAAGTGGTTGAGATCTCTCAATATGATTATCAGTAAATGATATTAAAGATTTTACATATAAATTTACCCTCAGAATGTTTTATCTTAGCGATATTCTGAAGCGAATTTTTGGTGAAGCTTTCCTGGAGCTGATTGATTACAATACCAGTCACCGTTTGATAATCTGCATTCTTTGTTATGGGCATATCATCAACGACAAACGCATCTTCAAGAATGCACAAAATTTCAGTTCTTTAAGAGTTTGTCCATGTCAACGCTAACTTCAAATGAATTTTAATTCGCTATAATAATCGTTGTCTATTTGCGATCTGTGAATGACTGCAGAAACGTCGCCAGAATTAGAACCAAAAAGCAGCGTTTCTGCATAACACTTTTCAAGAATTCAGATATGTATTCTGCTATAAGAATTGTTTTCTAAACCTTACCAAAAATATTCAGTAGCTATAGTTATTTATCAGCCTAAATTAAACAAGTAATCTTAAGTAAAAAATTTCAATTAAAAGTTCATTCATGTGAAAAAAATGTGAATACCATTTTCATTTTCCCTGCGTTTAATCACTTCTTCAATTTTCGAATTTTGACTTAAAACACTGATTAAATCTGAGACCGCTTGCACAGGTGGTTCTGTTGTCACATGTTCATCTGGAAAAGAGATTAAAATTAATCTCTTGAATATTAGGTCAAAATGACTTGCAGATTTTAAGAGAATAGAAAAATTTTATTTTGCACGGTTGCAATAGACAAAAAAACATGAATAAATGCTGACCTCCATCTATTAACGTACTGGCGGTATTCGATAATGTGCTCTTGTCTACTTCAGCCATACTTTCATCTTCTTCTTTCAGTTTCTTAATTGCTTCTTCTTCCTCAACCGTTGTATCTGCCACCGATGGCTCAATATCAGTTACCAAAATGTCTTTTGATTGAGCAACCTTTCTGATGATATCATCGACGTCTGCTTGTGCAAATGACTGCTCAGTTATTGAATCTGGAACTGATATGGAGGACAAAGTTTCATCAACTACCTTCCCCACAAGTCCGGATGTTTCTTCGCCATTTTCGTCACTGCTCCTGACTGTGCTTGTTTCTTCTGCTGTGCTTATTTCTTTTGCGATAGCAGTTATTTCGTTAATTACTTCATCAGCTGTTTCATCGGATATTCTTATTTTCTCAGACGTTACTTCAGTGTCTAATTCCACTGACTCAGTTTCTTCTGTAATTGATGGAGTAGCGGCTGTATGAGGTGTTTCCTGCATTGCTTTATCGTCTGATTTTACGATTGCAGTCTCAGGTGCAAGAGATAAGACAGTCTCATGACTTTCTGTATGCGACCCTTCTGGCATATCGGTTGTTTCTTTTATATTAGTTTCCAGGATATTACTTGAGATGTTTGCAACAATGTCGGATACAATTTCAGCGATATCATCTGTTACCTCATCAGCAGATGATGGTATAACAGTATTATCTGATGAAATCATTGTTGGTTCAGCTTCCTCTTGAAATTCAGTGCCGTCCTTTTGATCTTTCTGTTCGCCAGATTCAATCTTGCTTGTTTGAGTTGATTCGTCAATCACAGAAGCTCTACTACTGCCAGAAATATCTTCATTAGTGTTTGAGAGTTCCGAATTGTCAGTGGGAGTGCTTAGTGGTGTCTGTAAAATCAATGAAGTGAAAACATCAGGTTGAACTGTAGTATCTAATTCGTCACTACCGCTTGTTCCGATAGAATCTTCTACACTACCAGATGCGGTTGAAGTTGTTTTAATCTCCAATGACTCCATTGATGATTGTGATGTAGATGATCTTGAAGTCTCTTCTTCAACAGCTACAGCAGTAGGAGAGGTACCGAATTCTTCATCAAATTCTTTACTTTTAATTTCTTGTTTTATGGTTTCTGTTTGCGATACACTCTCAGTTCCAAAAGATGACGATGTTACAAAAGATATTTTTTCATTCTCGCTTACGCCTACCGACGATTCAGATACTATATCAACTGATTTGCTATCGATTTCATCTGAATCATTTGAAAATTGTGATTCAGCCTTCTTTACCGATTCCAATCCCATACCCTGACTTATACTCGTCGAAAACTTTTCTTCAATTTCTATAGGTTCCAAAGTTGAAGAATTCTCGTCAGTTGCCGAGTGCTCTTCTTTTTTTAATTTCTCGACTGTCACTGAAATAAGATATTAGAACAAACATAAGCTGATTTTAAACTCAACAATTTTCAAATTTAAGAAGAATTTTAAGCTCATAAATCAACCTGGTGAAGTGGTTGCATCTTGAGCCAATAAGCCTAAAGTGCTCTCAGTCAATTCTTTTTCTGAAACAAAGTTTAACTTCAATAAAATGAAAGATCAATATGAAATAAAGATAGCATGAAATGCAAAAAGGAAACAAAAAATATGAATAAGCTTACTAAGGGAAAGAAAAGATATGAATAAGCTTACTGCAGCTGATGCAGTGAATCCATATTGGTTCGGTAGTTTCCAATGAATGATGTTGCTGTTCATTTTCGTCACACTGATGATGATCTCCAAATGTTAATAAGCACTCCCTCTTTGTCGGATCAAATTTTGCACCAACGCATCCATTCTAAAATTTATTCCTTTATGCACCGTAAGTTTTTAAATTTTTAATTTTCAAGCCCAACACTTTTTAAGTTTTAAAGGAGAAGTTTTAAAGGAAGGATAAAGTGGAAATCTGTTGACTAAAATCTTCATAAGTATCGAGATTTTGTACACATGGTTGCACAAAATCAATTACAAACCATATAACAATGTTTAACGCAATCCTTTACTGTAGATGTTGCATCTGTTGGAATAAATTCGGTGATAGGCTCTTTGAAATGAGTATCAATAGACCTAACTTGAAATAAAAGAGTGCAATCTGAAAAAAAGTATAAAAATTGATTGGAATTGAAAAACGATAAGTGATAAATGATTGGGAATCAAGATGACACACGTCACTGAGTATTGTCAATTCACAGGCCAGCGCCTGTCCGTACGTCATTGCACGTGAAGTTGAAATTCGTTCATAATATTGCGGATCAAAGGATTCATTTGTTTATAAAAAAAAAATTTGCCATGTCCAAAAAGCGTTGTCTGAAAAGGTGTGGCAGTAATGGATGTTTCCTTTGTACTCATTGATTGCTCCATTCTTTCATCAGTAGTTGATATCGAACCGGTTTCACTGCTTATCTTCTGTTCCGAAATTTCCGCCTTCTTCTCCGTAGTACTTGCAACAGTTACTTCTTCTCCTGTTATTGAAACTTTTACTGCCTCTGTTGAAATTCCTTCTACTGATGATGGTGATGTTAAAGTTTCAGTTTCGGTATTTATTCCTTCTATTATATGCTCCGTATTTTCTTCAACTTTTGGCGTCACTTCTGATTTAATCGTCAAAATTTCATCCGGTTTGGTTGACTTCACTTCCTGTGCTTCTGTAGAAAGTGATGTAATTACAGTATCACTAACGCCAGTTTCGTTTCCCACTAAAAACTTTGATATTTTTATACGTTGCGTAGTTTTTCAGAAAGGAAATATGATGAAATATTTGAATTTGCATTTAATATCAATATGAAGAAGAAATGAAATTGTTCATCTTACAAAATTTTTTTCCAAAAAAAAAATTTACGAAACTTTATGAGATTCTGTCCTAAAAAATTTTTTTAAAAATAAGGAAAGCAAACCTTTTGCTTTGGGTGAATGGATCTTTATATTAAAACCTTTATCTCCTGGCTTGTGTAATTCTGAAAGTTTCAAAAGATTATAAAATTAGAAGTGAATTTCAATTTCGAAGTTTTAAACTTAGTATAAATCTTTTTACATAGAACTCAGACATACTACATCCGGTGCAGTGAATCCAAATGGTTTCATTAGCTTCATAGAAAAAGTGCAATGGTCCGTTGCTGCAAATCTGTTTGCCGCTGTAGCCTAGGACACATTCTTTGCTGGACGGATCATATCTGGCACCAGTGCAACCATCCTGGAATTACGAAGGGAATCTTCAATTTCATTCATCTTTATTTGCAAAGGATAGTTAGAAATTTAATTAGAAACTGGAGATAAAGCAAACCTGATAACATCGTCCAGCACAAACTTCTGCAGTTTGAGCAATTGTTGAGGATTGGAAACCCGTGGAAGATTCTGCAGGACGTTTATTGTGTGGATCCGCTTGGAAAGTTACGATACATCCTATAAATTTTAATAAAATTGACAAAAAAATGTTTCTAATTGATCTGTATTAAAAATGGAACTAATATTAATTGATTCATTGAATGATCAAAAAAAGAGGCATTATATCATCAAAAAAATAATATCCATCACAGTGGACGGATCACAATCGAAGGAAACCTCGCAGATATGCTTCGGATTCTTCATTGACATTTTTCGATGATAAGAGATTATTTTTGCTCTTTTGTTTGGGGAAAGTAGCTGTTGAGTTGTTTGAAGCAGCGGATTGTCCTTCAGAATTTGATAGTGTTGCCGTTGTGATTCCACTAATATGAACTGCGTTGGCTTGATCTTCAAATACATCCTGCTTTTTGCTTGTTTTTGCTTCCATTCTGTTTCTATCATCTATTGCTTCTGAATCAGTAATCCCTGCATTTGTAGAACTTGATATTATTGTACTGCTTTGTTCTGCTTTGTTTTCCTCTTCTTCAACAGTTCCTGTCACAGATGTTGTAATTGTTTCTCCATGTGTGCTACTTACCGCTTCCGGTTCGGCTCTATCAAATTCCATTTTAGATTCACTTCCAGATGGCAATGCATTTGCTTCTGCTGTTGACTTGTGCAAAGAATTTAATTCTTCATTATCTATATTGGATTCATGTGCGAATAGAATTTTTGGTACTGTTGCATGTATTATTTCAGATTCTCGAGTAGGTTCTGTTTCATCCTTAACAACTGGACCGTTAGATGACATGGATCCAGATATTTCCATTCCAGATTCAGTTCTTGAGTTACTCTCAAATGCCATATCACTGATCGATGAACCGATCATTGATTTGCTGGTCGTCGTTATTTTCGTGTTTCCAGTTATAGCCGAAATTGCTGTTGCAGATGCATCGATCTCAGCATCTGATGCAACTATAACATTTTCAGTGAATGCTCCCGTTTGCTCACTGGATCTGGATCCAGTTTCAACAAATGTTTCAGGTGTTGTTTGGGTAGCCTCAACCGGAACAGTATCTTCTGCTTCGTCCTTACTTGCCTTCACACCATCACTTATTTCCATATTTCCATTGGTGGCAATAAATGTGGTAGTTCCAACATCCTTTTCTATTTCTTTCGATTCCATTTCAGCTGTATTCAATTTTACGTCAGGAACCAATGTGATTTTCATCAACTGCTCATTTGTTTTAGCGGTTGTTTCAGACAAATGCTTCTTCGATGTGATAAGCGATGTTTTCGGTTGTGTTGTAATTGATTCAAGTGATGATTTCGTTTGCGGTTTCTCGGGAACTGAAATATTTCTTTATAAATTTGCTATTTGTAAAATATTAAGAAACGACATTTGTGATTATTTTTGAAAAATTTTTAACAAATTGGTAGGAATTATTTGCTTTGGATTTAAATTTTATTATATAACAAGTAACGAAAGAATTTGAAGCTTACGACATCTAAAACATTGCAAGTAAATAGGCTTAGTAGTCTTATAATAATAATCCCTTCTCAGCGTGGAGTTACACTTGTCCGCAATACCAAATTGTCTTTCACAGGTACCTTTGCTACCCGGAGCAGTTGCTGGCGTGAAGATGGCTCCGCTACAGGCATCTCGGTAGCAGAGATACGCACAATGGTCAGCTCTGAACTTTCATTTTGCTCTATTAATTTCAAAATTCTAAAATTTGCTTTAAATGTTCAAAACTTTGAAAAGGTTAAATGCCGCTTAAAATGCAAACATATTTTTAAAGAACTTTCAAAAGCTTTCTCTAGCAAGCTATCAGTAAGACTTCTATAAACATTTTTATTAGGATGCAATTCTCGCAAGAATTTTGTCACACATTAATGAACGGTTAATACGACCAAATTTCCAAGTTCACCTGTCAGCTTTCACACTATCTTGAGCTTTGAAATTAGCTATATTGGCTTCCGGATCAACTTCAAACACAACGACGCAAGCTGAAATTAGTCTTTGTTAGAATGGAATACAATGTATTTTTGTGTTTGTATCATTAAAAGTTTCTCATGTATAATTCAAAAAATTAAATAATTAAAAAAAGTTTAAAAAAATAGAATGAGCATACTCATTTTCATGAATTGAGGATCAAGTTTAAAGTGTCGTTTATTTTGCGATGAACCAACTGTATCAACTGCTGAAGTTGTTATAGGTTGGTCGGGGTTATTGGACTGCGATACTTCCGCCGATTCTGGTACTTTTTCTATTTTCTCACTTTTGCCTTCTTCTTTAAACCGTATTGACTTTTCTGAAGGAAAACATTTCCCAGCTGTTAGTACAAAATCTTTTCATTCACATTTTTGATGAAATTTGTTGTCCATATTTGTTATGAAAATCATTAAATAATTTATAATAATAAATGTATTCAAATTATCTTTAATTTAATAAATGTTGATACAATGAATTATTTGACTAATTCTCATCTTTTCCGGTTATCATTCTTATTTGTAATAATTAAATTATCATACGCAAATATTTTCAGTCTGATAACTAATCCTATATTCAATCATTATACTGCAGTCAATTCTTCCTTCTTTATATTCACATATCAATCCTTGCATACATTAGCATTTTATCAGAATATGCTTATTGTAATATATATATATATATATGAGTTAAAACGACTTCTAGCATTGGTTTGTTTACATTGCAGTCTATCACCATTTCATTTACCTGTGTGAAATGACTGCACAGGATTGATTAGTTGTCAAGAATCTTGTTTATTCGCTTCCTGAGAATATCTGACAATTATCCTCTAACTGACATTAAATCCTCTGCTAGTCAAAAAAACTTTATTCAAACTAATTTGTCTATGATATATGACAAAACAGAATCGTCTTTAGATAAACAAAAATATTCGTTTATACCACAGTCAGTTATCTCACTGTCGTATAGTTACCAAAAATTTTATTATAAATTAAATAGTGTAATGCATAGGTTCTTGTGCAGAATGACTATTGACTTAATTATTATCGTTCGGTAATGTATCATTACTTACCGTAAACGTAACTACAATTAATGAATGTCATAGGTATATCTTTTTTTAGAGAACGTTGTTTAGAAGCAAAACATTTTTACGATTACGTGTTAACATCGAGAAGTTCAATTTGTTGATATCAGTTTGAGAATAATAGAACAGCTTAAAGTGATAATTAAGCAAAATACAATATTCAGCCCGCGAAAATTAATGCTAGAATAGCTAAAAGATATCGCACATATTGAAAAGAAAGATTAAATTTAAGTTAATCAGATTATTTTAAAAATTTGAGTGTTGAGGAAAGATGAACTTTCTTTCAAAATTTTTAAATCCTTTAAAAGAAGACATAATATTCTTCTCATAAAAGAATTTGGAAATTTAGAAATATGCTTAAAATAAAGTAAAACAAATAAAAACATAGCTATTTTCTAAAGGTATTCTACTGAACTAATTAGTATTAATATTTATAGCATTGAATTTCTTCAAATTTCAAATCATTTTTTAACGCATTGCAAGCTTTGCAAATAACAGCAATCAAAATTAATTTGGAAAATAAATATATTTTGAAAATAATGAAAGAAACTAGAAATGATTAAAAAACAATTAATATTAAAAACTGCAGAAAAATGGAAACTCAAAGATTTGACATTCTGTAGCTTTCTTATTTCATAATATCTTGTGTAAAAATTTTACAGTAGTACGATTGTCATGCATGCATGCTGCATGACTGATATATGCACACATCACTTTCTAATCTCATAACTATCTCCTTCACAGCTTTTTTAATTTTTCATAACACTTCATTTCTACTTTTTTCAAATACACAATTGGAATAACTCACTGATATCATTCTCAATCTTACTTTTATGCTCAACTTTTAACTTTCAATTTAGCAAAATTGCTACCTGTATCCGAAGAATCTTCCGCAAGCGTTCTTAGTACACGCTGCTCGTTTCTTAATAAAGACGAACCACACGCTACACATGTTATTTTGATCCAATCAGATCCTTAACAGTAGCATTTTTAAAAAAAACTGAAAATTAGATTTTTTGATATAATTTCATTTTTTCAAAAGAAATGATAAATATGAATTAGACAAATTTCTTCAAATGTTATAGAATGTAACTGCGTTATGTAAGAACACTCAAACTGATTGTCCTTTAAGGCGGAAATGAATATCATTTGGAGCAATTCGTACAAACCGTTATCCTCAATCAATCTCATTTAGCAAAATAATTCTTTATTATTCTTGTTTTCAGTTTTTCTTTAAAATATATTACAAATTATGAAAATACAACAATTTAAAATCGAAAATATGAAGTGTTACAATTTGGGGACAACCTGAATAAAAGTCATAATTCAGAAATGTTAATATATGAATCCAGTTTTTTTTCGTTTTCACATGAAATTTAAAAATAACAAAAAAAATATAAATAAAGAAACAACCATTGTATTGATTGACGTAGGAGAAAGGCATCGTCTCACAGTTGTCACTACTTTTACTTTTACTTTCCCTTGTCAATTGACATTTTTTTTCAATGGTTGAATAGACGGCAATCTGTAAAAACTTATAATTCATCGTTGTTTCTTTGTTTATTTTGTTCCCACTAATTGAATAAAATTCTATAAAAAATTGAGGACACTGCCATCGCTACAATTTAATTTATTCATTTAATAGAAAAAATATCATAAAAAACATTTTGAAATTATCAAAAAAAAACCGCTGAGGTCTATTAATTAAGAATTTCAAGTTAAAACTATTGAATTTGAAATTGATTTTGCATTGAAGTTAAAGTTTTCAACTTCTTCAAAAAAATTGACGTTTTTTCAGTGAAACAGTCTAGTAATATGATTATCGAAATTACATTCTTGAGCATCGAATTTAATCTCTTCTACAATCAATATTTTAAATTTGTTCCTTACAAAAAATATATTTTAAGTGCAAAACGAACCTTGCAACATTTATCAAAGCATTTTTCAGCACATTCCCTTACTGAACTTGCTGTGACCGTTTCTTCGAAGAAATCAGAACTTCCCGAATTAGTCTGTTCTTTGGCAATAAACCATATATCTTCCTGACATCTCATCGCTAAAATATAAAAAAAATATGAAGAAACAACCATTGTATTGATTGACATAGAAAAAAGGACCGTCTCACAGCTGTCGCCATTTTTACTTTTACTTTCCTTTGTCAATTGACATTTTTTTTCATTTTTTTTTGTAATGTTTTTATTCTGTAATGTCCATACAGGAAATCATTCTTCAGATATACAAGAAACCATGCGATACAAAACTCCAGCATACGTCCCGATCAAAAGAGTGAAATATTTATTTAAATTTCAGAAAATTCAAGCTAATTTATAATATTAACAATTAACCATGATTCCCTCGTTTTTTTTAAAATTCACATCATTTGAATAATTAATTAGAAGTGCAATTTTGACTTTTTTCATGGAAAGATATGATATGAGTTTAGGATTGATTATGTTAATATTAAATTAATTGAGGATCGATAAATTGTTATAATCATGATTTATGATCATCTTAATATTACCAATGTCGTTGTGATCAATTAAAGTCAAAGTACTTTTAATTTTTTACAATGAAACTTTCGTGGATGAGAAAAATGGATGAGAGAGTAATAAAATTTAACACTATCGCTGGTTAAGTGCCATCCATTTGAACAGCTCTGTGTAAGTTATCAAATTTTTTTAAAACACTAAAGATCATTTTGTCATCTCGCTAAGCCTAACTCATCTCAGTAATTTTCAGCATTCGTCTAGCTCGACAAAGTTGCATACACTTCGGCAATCGATTAACTGCTAATGAAATTGAAGCGCAAGATGATTAAAAGCGCGGATAGAATGTTAATTTATGAGAAGTTATATGTTTAACAAAGAGCAATCTAAAGATATCAGTTATTTTGTTAATGGTACGCTTTTGAGAGATCATTCTAAGCTTGCACATTAGGTTCACAATGTCAGTTAATTAAATGTTTTCGGATGAATAAAATCATTAAAAGCTGAAATCTTACGTAAAGGTTCGCATACATCAATCCCAGAATTAGAAACAATTGTATTTTGCAATGATAACGGCTGTAGTGATGTGTCATTCAATGAGGTACCTGAAACATTGTTTAACATATAATTTGAATTCCGGAGAAAGGAAATTTCATTTATCATAAGTTTTGAAATTTCATCAAAATTTTGAATTTACTTTTTCCCAAAATGATTGATATGTCTAAAACTAACAAAGTCTTAAAAGATTATGAGTGAGAAAATGATAACCTAAAAATGGTGATAATTCATCACTCTCATTTGTCTCAGATGATATCAGTGACTCCTCTGCAATTTATTATTTGATTACTATTTGAACAACAAAAGCGGCTTATGAAAAAATTTTTCAAACTTTTTTTTTAATCTTGAAAAGAATAGTTCCAAAAGTAAAATACACGAAAATAATAAGTGCTTTGAAAAAAAAAAACTATCAAATTTGAATTCATGTTTACAATTGGTCATCTTACATAATAATAATTACTTACTTCCATCAAGCTCCTTCTTTAATTTGCATTTTATGCAATCAATGGTGATAAGCGTACTAATATCATATTTGATTTTTTCAAGTGGTACAGAAATGATCCTCGGGCAAAATTCAGAAACAAAACCGGTTAGCATACAACCTAGTGGGCCCGCTTTACGATATTTCAACGAGAAACAACGAGAATCTTTGTAACATTTTCGTGTGCATTCAAGAAGAGAGTTTGCTTCAATTCTATTGATGTGATATTCTTCTCGATTTGATTCCGTTACGTTCACGTATACTCTCAGTTGATTATCTGGACATTCTAAAAAACAATACAAAAAAATTTGCGCTTCTTTATTTAGTAATACTGATACTTCCAGAATTTCAAAACTTTGTATTAATTAAAAAAATTCTCTTTAGTTATTTATTACATTTAATGTACAGCAAAACAATCATATTAAAATATGAAATACATTTAAAAAATGCTTATAATAAAAAATAATAATACTGAAATAAGCAAACATAAAAATGTTTCACGCAATTAATTTATTCCGATAAATATCCATTCATTGCTCTTTTCTCATCTCGAAATAACCTTTATCTTAAAACTCTGTTCCAAAATTCCGTATTATAATTTCGATGAATTTATGAAGTCAAACTTCAAATGAGGTTTAATTCGTGTCAAAATACTTGACTGAATGAGTAAAAAACAATTGAGAAATTTATAAATTAAATCAATAAACGGAATTGATTTTTTTATAAGTCATATTTATTGCTTGGCACAGGTTTGAAAAGGTAAATTAATTTTCTAATTTATTTCAAAGGTCAACGTTGAAAATTATTACTGCTAAAAATAATAAATCTTTTTTCTGAAAAATGTAAAAGTAACACTATCAAATGAGAAATAAACAAAATTTTAAGTGATATAAAAAAAAGAAACAGAATAAATCATTCAAAAGAACTTTATCACTTTCACTGCTTGAAGTTGAAATTTTGGTCAAATTTCGAAATGAATTTGCTAAAATTTCACTCACAGCAATTACATTAGAGTTTCTTTACATTATTACTTTTTCACTCTCTTTTCTCAAAAAAAAGAGTGACTAACTATCATTTGATGAACAGCACTTGAATTGCAACAAATTATGATTCATTCGGTAATACACAACAAAAAGAAGTTGATGAAAACATTTTAACTTCTTTAATTTTTATTTTGCGTAAGTTAAATTATATCACCCAAATGACCTTCAGGATCTGTAATTATCCCTCTCTATATGGGTCAGCTTTTTATTTATTGAAACATCAATTTCTCTTGTCAAAAAATGGAATATTTTGAAAAAAGCAAAGAGTGACTGTCATTTGATGAACAGAGTTACAATTTCAGGTCCATTCATAGCCAAAAATAACCAATAGGATACATGTTTTGGTTATTTGATTGATAAAAGCAATAAAAAGGACATGCCTGGTCTTTGGGATCGGTTTGGTGCGGCATTGATAACACTGATAAGATACAATAGGATAGTACTAAACAATACTGTCCAAATCATCAGTATTGTTGGCTATTTTTGTCAGCCACTTTTGTAAACTGTATAAATACGATAGTCAAAGGATGAATACCGCTCAGATATGTTTGAAGTATTGCGATGTTTTCTCACAGACCGAATGTTCGTTTCTCGTTGAATTTGTATCTTTCGGTTCTGTAAAATAAATAATAAACTGAAATGAATGAAAAATTGTAGTGGAAACAATAAATAAAAGCGCAATTTGTCCTACAGATCGATACGCAAAATTATGATAAACTAAAACAAATAAATACTACAAAAGTTCAGATTAAGAAGTTGCTTTGAGTAAAATATTTAATTTGTTAAAATTAAGAAACGAGAGAAATTATTGTTTTGTGGTACCTTTCTATTTCAATGCAACTTCAAAGCAACTGGCATCAACTTATATTCTAATTTTGAACTATAGCTCTGCTGCTTTAGTTTAGTTTAATTTTTTCCATTAAATTTTAATTTAATAGAAAAAGTGGTATAATTTTAAAAATTTAGCACTAATCATTTTTATTTTTAAACTTTAACTTTAATAAAAATATATGGTATGAAAGACTATTAAAGAGAGTTGAAAGTAGCAGTTTTCATTACTGACAAAAGATATTACAAAAGACAATGATGATAAATATCTCGAGGAAAGTAAAGAATTGCTTCATATGATCATTATATGAAAGTTATCGGAATTAAAAAAGTGATCATATTATCGTTCATTTCATCAATTCCAATTTTTTTTTTGAAATATGTTTGGGAATAGAACAAAATTTTTTTTAAAAAGATGCAAAGATTGTTTTTTATTCATCTGTTTATTGTTATCTCATGAAAAATAAATAACACATTGGACAGTTTGTAGTGGAATGATCACAAAAGCTACTCGTTATCAGAACAAGAAACAAACAAGATTAGAAGTAATTAAATTTATTAAATTGTTATTTTTTTCGTTTCTCAGCAATTTAGAAAATTTGGTACCTGATATTTTTATTACCACTTCTCAAATTGTTAATTATCTCATTCAAACAAATTTTTAAAATATACCGCTTTTTTAACGTTCATTTTTTGTGGGAAAAATTATTTTGCAATCTTTCATTGTAATTTCGTTAAGGATTGTTGCAAAATTGTAAATTTTACTGTAAATGCTTAAAAACATATATTACTATATCGCTATGACTTTTTTGCAGTAATATAAAATAAAGAATATTAGTTAACGGGAAGATGTTTTTCTTTGCGGTTAACCTCTTTAACAATTCAATTCACAAAAATCTGTTATTTTCCTCTTCTCTTCTCATTTATGAATAAATCGAATAGAAGAAACGAAATATTTTATTCTTTCCGATCGGCGTATTTCTTAACCTACCTGAATGGATAAAAATATTGAGCTAAATTATTTGCTTCAAATATGATTTTTTTATCAAAAAATCACTGAAATTTCAAAAATTGGAGTTGATGATTGAGTAACTTTTTAAATTCTGATACATTCATAAGTCAGATAACATATATGAAATAATATGGACATATTTAATCTTTCAATTTGATATCAAATTTAAAGAATCGAAGGAAAACAACATAAAAGCAATCAAAGAAGGAATTCCTCTCAGAAATATAACTTATGGAGGAACGAAAACGTCATAGTAATTTATTTTCGAATCAAAAAAAATGTCGTAATTTTTGGAATAGTTCCAAATTCAACGCATTTATAAATTTTTATAAATTTTGTAAAATTTGAAAAAATTCTAACAAAAGTATGTCTAATAGATAAATAAAAATATATAAGGTGATATTTCAAATATTTATGAAGTGGAAATTAAAACTTTTTAATAATTTTATTTGCGAAGAGTTGGACTGGAGAAGTGAAATAAAGAATTTTAGAAGTGGAAAAAAATACAAAATTTATGAAATAGAAAGTGACGCATCGTCCAATTTAAAGAGCGTCAGGCGAAAATGTTGCCGTGTCTATGACAATGCCTTATTATCCACCTGTCAGTGGACAGATTGGTGACAAGTAGCGGGTAAGACTCACAATGAGGAACATTCCATCATGTGAATCATACACGACAACCATTCCTTCTGGACAAAATGCAAACGCCACAAGAGAAAAATTCAATTTCCACGAACATTAATCAATTTATACGTTATCAGTTAGCTGATGTCTGTAGAAGGGAAAATTTTCTCCTGCGACATTTACATTTGCATTATTATTTAAGCTTGCTGTTTTAAAAACAAATTTAATAACAGTTCAGCGAATGATAAATGGAACAGAGTTATGATACTTACAAGCCATATAATAAATATTGCGTAAGCTTTTTTTATTTTAATAGTAGCATAGTATCAGTTTCCAGCACTATCATTCTATCTGGTACTTATCAGTGATAGTGTGGCTCTTGTGAATTTAAACTACCTAAATAAGTAATATCTCCCAAATCCTCATTTAAAAATGCAAAAAAGTAGGGTGGCAAAAGATGAAATAAAAACTTCAAACTACTTTTTAAAATCTTTTTTTTTTCATTTTGAGATTTTTTTTCTGAAAAAAAAGCATAGATTGCTTTAACTTTAGAAAAAGATGCGATTATTAAGATTTGAATAACTATGAAGTCCTAATGATATATGCGATTGCTGTATGATGAAAAAAGAATTATTGATATGGATTGCATATCATATCGGTAATTGCAAGATTCGGAAATGGTAGGCGTAGCAGTATGGAAGGAATTAATATTAGTGATTCGTAATCTTGACAAATATCTCTGCGGGTCGCAATTAAACTAATTATTATCTTGTTACTTATTCAATTAAAATTTTGATCGAATTTATTAACTATAAAGCTAAAAATTGATAGTGTTAAGTAAGTAATTTTCATGCACAATTCCTTTATGTATTATATCATGTTACTGGAATTGTCGAGGTAGAATTTGAAAATTAAATTAGTAATTAAAATATTTGATAGAGCTAATGGAGCATAACATTATTAACAAAAATATGGCAATACGAATTTTTTTCGTAAAATTATGAGAAATTACATCTGAGGATTTATCGCACAGAATTTAATGCCATGTAAACTTTCAATTTTTTTTTTCGTTTTTATCAATAATGCTTTCTGCCAAGATATATTTTTTAAAATTGAAATGCAAAAAATTGATTAAAAAAGAAAATTTCTGAATTTTATTAAAAAGACAGGAATTAAATATTAAAGTTTTCTCTCTGAACTTTAATAGAAGAAGCTGTCTTCTAAAGAATTGATAATATTGCTCTTTCATGAAGAATGGTTGCAGAAGAAACCCGTTTGAATTTTCTCTATGTATCGCATTATCTTTGTTAATATCCATTCTGGTTGACAAATATTCTGCGAATAAACTGCATCATCGAGTAAAGCTTGACCTAATCCTTTGTTCTTAAAAGTAATAATTTATCGAATCGGTTCTTTAAATTAATAATAGTCACTTTTAAATTTCTCCTTCCCATTCATTTCAGCTTTCTTTTAAGTAAATTTAAAATCGTTAAGTTATTTCTCGTTTCTTTTGAAAATTGTTTCACAGTTGTTCTTTTAAATAAAAAAAAACTTTAAATCGGGGTTGTGAGTTGGTTACTGTGATAAATTAATATCTTCGTCTTCATAT